CAGGCCCCTGCCATGGGGGAGACAGATGCATTGTGGGAGCTACGCTTCTGAGAAATCCTGCCTGGAGCTGATGGGTTTGAGGCAGGATGCCAGGCTAGATGGGCCTGTGCCAGGGTGGTAGGTGCTGGGCCCAATTTGGGGCAGCAGGTGGCATGGGCGGGCAACCAGGCTAGATGGGCACATGCTCAGAGTGGGGGAGGGGTGTGCTTCAGTTCTGTTCCCCACCTGCCCCCTAAGCTGCCACTCCACTCTGAGGGGGGCAATGGAACCAGGGCTTGGCCCCCTGGGCTGGTTGCCCCAGGAGTGCAGGACAGGACGTGCCTTTGTCACTCTCATGGAGCCTTTCCCAGCCTGAGTCCATGGGGTGCAAATGAGGGAGGAGCCCCAGTTCCTGGTGAGCTGAAATTTGAAGCTGATTGGCTGGTGGACCTGCTCTGCCCTAGTGCTGCAGTGATCTGCCTGAAAGCCATGCTGCCCGGCCACACCTGCTCCCTAGCCCCCTCTGCTCTAACCACTAGACACCACTCCCCTCCCAGAGCCAGACCCCAGACATTCTGCCTCCTAGCCCTCTGTTCTAACCACTAGACCCCACTCCTCTCCTACAGCCAGGCATAGAACCCAGACATTCTGTCTCCTGGCCCCTCTGCTCTAACCACTAGACCCCACTCCCCTCCCAGAGCCAGGGATAAAGCCCAGGTGTCCTGCTGCCAGCTACACAAAAAGGAGCGAGCTGGGACTAGCTGGGAACAGAAGCAAGGGGGCTGCTCTTCCATCCATGGCTGGGGCCCCTGGCCTGGAGGGGCCTGGACCCGGGGGTTGTATTCTCCGGTAGTTTTCAACGGGCGAAGCAGGAGCGGGAGCATGTTCTGGCATCTGCCTCTTTTGTGCTGCGCAGAGGGGGCGAAGCCTGAGATGCTGCCGGAGGCTGAGGGGCGGTCGTGCTTTGCCTTTAGTAATAAAGTTCTTTGTCCCACCAGCCTGTGGAAAAGAGGAAAGTCCTACAGTGAGACTGCTGGAGTGGTGGAGGAGCCCAGCGTTAGAGGCATCACTGGGCAGTGATGCAGCCATCTCTGGGGTGGTGCAACTGGGAACAGCTGCACATAACGCTGCAGGAGCACAAGTTTGCTCAGGGCCACGATGCAGCTACCTCTGGAGCAGGGCAGGTGGGAAATAGTCACACAACGGTTCTGTAAGAGGATGGTTCACACAGCCCCAAGACTCAGTTTCCCAGCTGCTCTGCCCTAGAGGTAGCTGTCGCACGTAACTCTACACAGGCATAGTGCACCCAGTACTGAGATGCAGCCACCTCTGGGGTGGAGCACTGAGGAAAAGCAGCATATAACCCTGCAGGAGCACAACTTGCCCACTGCTGAGATGCAGCCACCTCTGGGGTGGAACAGCGAGGAACAGCTGCATATAACACTGCAGGAGCACAACTTGCCCAGTGCTGAGATGCAGCCACCTCTGGGGTGGAACAGCGAGGAACAGCTGCATATAACACTGCAGGAGCACAACTTGCCCAGTGCCGAGATGCAGCCACTTGTGAGGTGGGGCAGCTGGCACACTGCAGCACCTGATGCCAGACTGGGCTGACTGTGCCAGAATACCCCTCTGCGTTCACAACCAGCACACTATTGCATGACTGTACCAAGCCTGGTGCGGTGTCATTTCAAAGCTCCGGCTTTGCTAAGCAGTAACAGGCGGCCCGGAGGCGCAGCGCTAGCGGTGACGTTCTTTGCACAGAAGCCTGGGGAGCGGCCAAACCAGTTCCCCAGCAACAAAGGAGCATGCAGCCCCGGGAGCCAGGCGTGACAGAGGCTGCTGGGCATTACTGGTTCTTAGGGCAGTGGCAGGGGCAAAACAATTTCCTCCTTCTCCAGCTGGCTGCTGCCTGGCACTGGAACCGCTTTGCCCTGGGGACACTGGCCTATAAAACGAAGGGGCAGCTGCCCTGGGACTCCCCTCTTGCCCTGCCCCAGGAGAGAGAGAGACAGGCATGTGGGGGCGACTTAGCTGCCGTGCATGTGGCCTTGTAACGTGTCTCCCGTGGCTCTTTGCTGCTCGTGCTATTAAAGCACCGTGCGAGTCAGTCCATGGCACAACCCTCCGGTGGCGCTGTCATGTAACAGGCTCACTAAATTGGCTCCCGCCCCCCTGAGGGTTGTGCGGCACCGGCCGAGAGCCCGGGGGGAGGAACGTGGCTCACCCCCACCAGCCTGTGCGGGGTTGGGCACTTAGCAGCCGGGGCTCTTTGGTTTCCTTGGGGCGGTGCCTCCCATTGCTGCCCTGTGGATGTGGCCTGACCCGAAAGTGGCCTGGCTGGTTCGTGAGTCAGTGGCATGTCCCGCTTGAGCACATCGCATGGGCCAGGATCCCACCGGGCCAAATGCCGCCCGGGGTGCAGCCTTTTCCCATTTGCAGCCCCAAACCATGTGCAGTGGAGGTGGGACCCCTTGGAAATCGCAGGTGTCCTCTGCAGCCCCCCCAGGTCTGCGGACAGGTTGGAACCCGCTGCCCTAGCAGGCTGTGTACTGGCCAGGAGCAGGCTGCTCAGGGCAGGACAGGCATGTCTTGGGGGGATCTCAGATTGGGGTGTGTGCTGGGGTCACGCTGCCATATAACCCAGGCTGGTGAGAGCCGGGGGTGAAGGGGGGGCTGACAGGTGGAAGTTACACGTCAGGTGTAGTTTGCAGACTGTTAGGCTGTGAATGGTCCAGCCGGGAGCTCTTTCAGCAAGACATCAAGGTAGGGGTAATACAGCTGCTCGTTAGTCTGGGTTGTTCCCTGGTGCAGAATGCAGCCACCTCTGGGGCGAGGCAACTATGGAACAGCCACATGTGACTGCACAGGGGTGGCTCACCCCGGCCCTGAGCTGCAGCCACCTCTGGGGTGGGGCAGCTGGGGAACAGCCGCTCGTGTGATCACTCAGTTACTCACTTCCGGGGTGCCTTCGGACGCCGAGTTTTCGGATTTCATCATAGACGAAGATGAGGATGCCAAAAGGCAGAGGCACCAGCCACCACTGGAACCTGGAGGGAGCCAGGGGAGAGACCTTAGCTATGGAGAATGAGCAAAACATCTGTGCAGCCCCAGTGCTGGTCCCGTGGTGCTCGCTAAGCCGGGCTGCTGGGGAGAGCCCCCAGCCTGCCCCCTGCAGCGCCCCCTATTGCCGCCCTGGGGTCGGCCCTGCCTGCCCGGGGGAAACCCCACCCCACCCCATCCTGCAGCACAGCGCCCCCTAGTGTCACATTGGGTCCAGCCCTGCATTCAGGAGGAGAGCCCCCACCCTACCCTGCAGCACAGCGCCCCCTAGTGCTGCACTGGGCTGAACGGACGAGGCACATCCTGCTCTCACCGTATGGGCATGAAGTTGAAGATGTTGGGCATGCCAGGGCAGTAGCACAGGAAGCAGCCCAGACACAGCTGGAACACGATGGCAATCACCAGGATTTTATTCCTGCCACAGAAGAAGCCCGTGAGCTCGGGAGGGGCCAGGGAACGGCAGGTCGCCCCTGCCAAGGCGGGCCCCCCCCCAGCCGCCAGGGACAGCTCAGACCAAACCCCATCTTGTAGTGCCTCACACCTGGGAGAACGTCTTGCCGGGCCCTGAGATGCAGCCACCTCTGGGGTATGGGGGGAACAACTGCACCATGGGGCTGGGTCACCCAGCACTGAAATGCAGCTGATTCTGGGGAACAACCATACATAACACTGCATGGGGATGGCTTAGCTGGTGCTGAGCTGCCACCCCTGGGGTAGTGCTGCTAGGGAATGGATGCAGAACATGCCCTCCCCCCCCGGATTCTCTCCCCAATGGTCTGTGGGCTCCCCAGCACCTGAAGAAACCCTGCTGGAAGACCGAGAGACGGCGAGTCTTGCGGATGAGGACGTCTAAGATCTGACACATCTCGATGCTGATGAAGAAGACGGTGTAACAGGTGTATTCCTGATACAGGCGCTGGCCAAACGTCTGCGAGCGGGGAGAGCGGCCGGTCAGAGTCAGCCCCCAGCAGCCCCAAGCCTTCGGGCCAGATAAGAGCCAACACCCCCGAGGCCTGATTCCCGTTTCCCCTGAGCCAACCATTCCCCTGCCCCCTTTATCCTCGGGGGGCCTAACAGAGTCGCTCCATCCCCTAGCAGCAGCAGTAAGGCTGTTATCCCCTAGGTGTGGCTAACGGGGTGGCTCCATCCCCTAGCAGCAGCAGTAAGGCTGTTATTCCCTAGGTGTGGCTAATGGGGTGGCTCCATCCCCTAGCAGCAGCAGTAAGGCTGTTATCCCCTAGTTGAGGCTAATGGATTGGCTCCATTCCCTAGCAGCAGCAGTAAGGCTGTTACCTCTGATGGCCCATCACTCACCCACTCCTGCCCGTAGCTGTCCTGCACGTCTTGGAGATGGTCATTTTCCCACTGGGCCCGCAGCCCCACGCAGAGCAGGGGGAACCAGCCCTCCTGGGCCATGGCTGTGAAATAGTCCGTGAAGCCAGCGAAGGACTGGATGGCCCCTGGACAGGTGGGGGAAGGGAGAACAAAGCCATGAGGGTGGGATGCCCCTGGGAACTTGGTGCTGCCCCCGGCTGGCCCTTATGGACGTGGCTCAGTCTGGGGGAGGGCAGAGCCAGGTGGGTTTGGTTCTGCTCCCTAGTTTCAGTGGGGAGGCGGGGCCAGAGGAGTTTGGCTCCGCCCACGAGCTCTAGTGGGAGGCAGGGCCAGCTATACTTGGCTCCACCAATGAGTTCCAAAGAGGAGGTGGAGCCAACTCTGTGGAGCTCCTATTGGCTCCGCCCTGATATCTAGTCCCGCCTCCCACCTGTCAGAGCCACCCCTGGCCTGACCCACTGTCAGTCTCTCAAAGAGGGCTAATGAAGGTGGAAAAGCCACCAGCACCGGAGGGGTTAATCAATAGTGAGCCATGAACAGGCAGGGGAGAGGGTTCAAACTATCCGTAGCGCAGACACAGCTTCCTCTGGCTGCCTGCTCCCCTGCTCTAACCACTGCACCCCACTCCCCTCCTGGAGCGGGCTAGAGCCCGGCGTCCCGCGGACGCACCGATCTGGAAGTAGGAGTACACAGCCAGGGCTACGTCCCCCAGCCGGTCGCGCCGGGGGTTCCGGGGCTTCAGGTGCATGATGTCGCTTTCCGCTTTCTCGTAGGCCAGGGACACCGAGGGAAACTAGTGGGGAGAAAGAGGGAGACTCGCTGGCTGAGCCGAGGGACCCAGGTGTTCGGGGGAGCACCCCCACCCTACCATCTGCCGTCCTGGGGTATTAGCACTAGGGGGGAGTCACCACCCTATTGCCTGCAGCACAGCGCCCCCTAGTGCCTTACTGAGGCATGGGGGCCAGCCCTGACCACTAGGGGAGAGCCTCACCCCACTCCCTGCAGCACAGCGCCCCCTAGCACCTCCCTAGGGCATTGGGAACAGCCCTTAGTACCAAGGGAGAGTCTCCTCCCCGCCCCCTGCAGCACAGCACCCCCTAGTGCCTCTCTGGGGCATTGGGGCCAGCCCTGAGCACTAGGCGGGGCTTTCACCCCACTGCCCACTGGACTCACGATGTCGGTGCAGAGCTCGATGAAGAGGATGGTGATGCAGCCCAAGGGCAGGGGGACGCTGACTGTGATGTAGATCAGATACGGGGTCAGCTCCGGGATGTTCTTGGTCAGGGTGTACGCGATGGATTTCTTTAGGTTGTCAAAAATCAGGCGGCCTGGGCAGGAACACAGCTGTCAGCGTGCCTCCTGCGGAGGGTGAGACGCCCGAACCTCCCCCCAGCGTACCCTGTTCTGGGAGAGCCTCGCCAACGGGGAGGCTCCATTTGCACTGTCGGTGTCCCCCACACCCTGCTGGCTGGGCTACCAAGCCCCCCGGGGTCAAAGCCCCCTGCTCCGTGCGCACCTTGCTCCACGCCCGTGACGATGGAGGCAAAATTGTCATCCAGCAGGATCATGTCGGCTGCGTTCTTGGCGGCATCAGAGCCAGCGATGCCCATGGCCACCCCAATATCGGCCTTCTTCAGAGCCGGGGAATCATTCACCCCGTCGCCTGTCACGGCCACTATAGCGCCCTGTGGGGGGGAGACAGCTGGTCATGTGGGGTGGGGGACAAGGTGGAACGGACGAGCTGGAAGGAAAGAAAGAAGGCACCATAGCAACCCAATGAAGTGAAGCCCAACAAGGAAAAGCTGTGAAAGCTGGAGAAAGGGAAGCAAAGGAACAGAAGGCACGTGAACAGGGCCGCATTATGACTTTCATGGGCCCTAGGCACTTTTGCCTTCGTGGGCCCTTCCTTCATAAAAAAAAAATATTAAAAATTATTTTTGATTTAACTTTAAATACTTCTGGGCTGTGTCTAGACTGGCCACTTTTTCTGGAAAAGTTTGCCAGCTGTCTACACTGGCCGCTTGAATTTCCGCAAAAGCACTGACGATCTCATGTAAGATTGTCAGTGCTTTTGCGGAAATACTATGCTGCTCCCGTTCGGGAAAAAGTCTTTCCGAAAAACTTTTGCGCAAAAGGGCCAGTGTAGACAGCAGAGATTTATTTTCCGCAAAAAAGCCCCGATGGCGAAAATGGCGATCGGGGCTTTTTTGCAGAACAGGGCGTCTAGATTGGCATGGACGCTTTTCCGCAAAAAGTGGTTTTGTGGAAAAACGTCCTGCCAATCTAGACACGCTTTTCCGAAAATGCTTTTAACGGAAAACTTTTTATTTTTTTTCTGTTTTAGGCAAAATGTAATAGATTTTCGTGGGCCCTAAAAGGTTCATTTTTTTCTGATGTGAGAAAAAAATTAAAACATTGTCTTCGACCCTAACAGTTCATTTTTTTTCTTCTGATTTTAAAAGAAATTAAAACATTTTCGTGGGCCCCTAAAAGTATCGTGGGCCCTAGGCACTGTGTCTAAGGATAAGTCGGCCCTGCATGTAAGGACCGAGCACAGGGCAATGGGCAGGAGGAGCGGGGGCGTCGCTCCTGGGTGCCTCACCAACTTCTGGCAGCTCTCCACGATGATGAGCTTCTGCTGGGGGGAGGTACGGGCGAAGACCATCTCGGGGTGCATCTTCAGGATCTCGACAAGGTCCTCGCTCTCCATGTCCTTCAGCTGCCCCCCGTTCACCACACAGGCCCGGGCCTCCCTGAGGAGGGAGAGAGAACCCCCTGCTGAGCCCCCCACACAGATCTACCCACACAGCAGCCCACCACAGCGCCCCCTGCTGAGCCCCCCACACAGCAGCCACTGCTGAGCCCCAGACGTATTGCCCCTTACACCACAGCGCCCCCTGCTGAGCCATCCACACACAGCACCCCCCTACAAACACCACAGCACCACAGCTGAGCCTCCCTGCCCAACTCCTGGGTACTAACCCTGGCTCTAGGAAGGGAGCGGGATCTAGTGGTTAGACTCGAGCAAGGCCAGGAGGCCAGGAAGGCAGGACTCCCGGGTTCTCTCCTAGCTCTGGGAGGGGAGTGGGGTCCAGTGGTGGGGGTGGGGGCAGGACTCCTGGGATTGCTCCAGCCTCAGGGAGGGGCTCTCACCACTTGTTGACTTGCTCCACAGGGATGCGCATCCTGGAGGCGATGTCCTCCACTGTCTCGCTGCCCTCTGAGATGATGCCCACGCTGGCCGCAATCGCCTTGGCCGTGATGGGGTGATCCCCTGTCACCATGATCACCTGGGATGGGGGGGAGAGTGTCAGGGCTCAAGGGGGGTGTCCATGGAGCAGGGTCCCAGCCAGGGTGGGGGAGGGACCCTAGAGCTGTGAGCTTCCTCAGGGCAGTGCCCCAGCCAGGGTGTGGGGAGGGACCCTAGAGCTGTGAGCTTCCTCAGGGCAGTGCCCCAGCCAGGGTGTGGGGAGGGACCCTAGAGCTGTGAGCTTCCTCAGGGCAGTGCCCCAGCCAGTTCCAAGGGCAGTACCTCAGCCGGGGTGGGGGAGGGACTCTAGAGCTGTGAGCTTCCCCAGGACAGTGCCCCAGCCGGGCAGGGAGATGCTGCAGTGCTGTGCGCTTCCCCAGGGCAGTGCCCCAGCCGGGGTGTGGGGAGCGACCCTAGGGCTGTGAGCTTCCCCAGGGCAGTGCCCCAGCCGGGGTGGGGGAGGGACCCTAGGGCTGTGAGCTTCCCCAGGGCAGTGCCCCAGCCGGGCAGGGGGAGGACTCTAGGGCGGTGGGCTTGCCCAGG